CCACCCAGAACTAACCCTTATAAAACCTTTCTCCTTTTGGTGGTGGATTGTCTCTAAGGCCCACTTCCAACAGCAAGCAAACAACAAGCGCTCATTTGCAAATTTAAGTTGGGAAAGTGCTTGTGCAGCCTAGTACTTCCGGTAATAATTATTCAGCATGACCAGGAAAATAGCTTGAATTCTGAGGCATGTTGAGCAACATGCAGAGAGCAGGAGTCATTCGACTTCCCCTGAAGGCTGGCCCTTGATAGTGGTCCTCCCTGTTACCCCCCAGGCCCTGCAGCCAATCCCAGATTTCTTGTGCTCCGAGGTCAGTGGGAAGCTCATACACCTTGCAGTGTTAACATGCTCACAATAGAAGAACAATCGCGAGACAAAGCAGCCATTTTGTACAGCAGCGTTCTATTTTGGCTCTAACCATGAAACAAAAATAAAATATTCGAGCCATCCAAATCCTGACATTTTTCTGTCACCATGCCCTTTAGCATGCCAGGTTCAGGTTCATGGGCTGGAACATAGTCAAACGCCGTAAGAAAAACTGAGAAAAAGGTGTTCACTGAATGTCATGGATAATAATTCTGTGATCACCGGAGCCTTATTCTCTTCATGGGCATGGCGTTCCCAGAGGCAGAATAATATAAAAAACTGTTGATGTTTATGAGCTGGGATATACATTTGCCCACTTATACCTTCAATAACTCTGAGGCAGGCCTCTCTGCTATCCATTTCACAGATGACAGACTGAGGCACACAGTGGTGGAACAGAAGCCCAGATTTTTACAGGTAGTGAATTGCACAGAGGAGGTATCCAGGTAGATAAGCTGGCTCTGGAAACTGCATGAGTGTCACTACCCTAACAATGTTAGGCAGACTCTAGGCTTAAAATGACATACTTCCTTGGTTTAAATGAAGAGAACCATTGTTTTGCACTCTCCATAGAGAAAATGGCTTCCCATAGAATCCGAAGAGGCGAGAATGGGTGAAATACTGCCAAACTCTCCTCTGTGGGTCCCCCAGTGACCAGGAGAGGAGGCTGGGCTTTCAGTCATCGTTTTAGGGCTCCATCTCGAGGCAGCCAAGAACATTGAGTGGAGAATGGAATTGGGGTGATTTATCGCCCCTGAGCTCAGAGAGAGAATCAAGTCATGCCAATCCCTCAGTTCCCCCAAACAG